GGACTTAATAAGTAGGTTAATAATGGGGATAACTAGGGTTACTATATGGGTTATGGGGGTTATCAACCTACTTACTAAGTCCCCCTGACCCTCCAAGTAAACCCTAAACCCTAAACTGAGGCTGCAGCATCCCCGAAAGCAAATTGGACCACATCGCTGGTTGAGGTGCGGACGGTCAGGTCATACCTTGGACTCTACTTCGCAAGACATTTCGCATCATGTTGCAATCCCTAAACCCTAAATGTAGGCCTACACCGCCACCCTAGATCTGAAACTCCCAACCCTTCTCTCCAAACCAAAATGCCCGAACGTGCGTTCAGAGTCCCTACTTCGAGGGACCCTGGAGTCAGCTAATATCATATAACCCTCGAATAAGCCCATTACAACTTTATTGTAACCCGTTATAAGTAGGTTACCTAAGCCTTTAGTAGCTCCAGGGTCACTCAAAGTAGACCGCTAGATAGGCTATAGTCACGCGTAAGTACACAGAATATGGGGTATATGGGCATCTTATTATGATATACCCAAAGCAGTATTCTATCTACTAAAGGGGGACTACAGGACTATAACCCCTACAATACCCCATATAATCCCAGTCTTCATTTCCCTAGGTTCGATGAGGTGCTTTAGGGCCAGGTCCTCTAAGGCTTTCATGAGGCGCCGCTGCATGTAGCCCGTTTCCGCCGTCTTCACTGCGGTGTCTACTAGTCCCTCTCGGCCGCCCATGGTGTGGAAGAAGAATTCCTGGGCTGCTGTTAAGAAGCTTTACTTTTAACTGTACTGTAGGGGTATAATGGTTTAGGGTTTAGGATTTAGGGTTTCCCTAAACCCTACATTGTAGGGTTTAGGGTATAGGGTTTAGGGTTGAGGAATTCAATTTAACTTACTATATTGGGGAAACCCTATTGCTCACTATACATATATATATATATATCCGTTCTGGTAGCTTGGTTGAAGTTCCTTAACAGCGGCCCAGATTCCGGGGCCTCCAGGCCAGAGTAGAAGGAGTTCGCCACGAAACCCCGTGCCTTCTGAGTCTGCCCTGTAACCTTATAAAGTATTTCCAGCCCTAAACCCTAAACCGTTTCTTAGGCGGGTTTGTAACGAAGAAAGAATCAAATGGTTCTTTCATCACGCCCCTAGCCTTGGGCTCCTTGGAGCCCTTTTGGAAATGTGGAAGGGTGCGGTTTACGAAGCCATCCTTGATACGCTGGCCGCCCACGTTCTGTTGGCCCACGCATGCCATCATCTGGCACAGGTTGATGGGGCTTCCTTTGGAACCGCAGGTCGCCATGATTCGCGGCTTGTTGAAGAATGCCAGCTTCTCTTCACACATGCCTCCGACCAGATCACGAATGCGACCAAGCTCCCCATTGACCAAGGCCTCCAGAGTCTGTTCGGCATTGCCTGGGTTGCTGCTGTGAAGGAACTTAAGCTGAGTTGCCATAATTAATTGGTATACATAGTAAAAAAGTAGGGTGTCCCAATATAGTAACTTAAATTAAGTTCCTCAACAGTAACCCAGTTGCAGCCGGGCTTGTTCTCAAGAGTGCCTTGGTTGTACTGGCCAATGTACTTGCCGACCATTTCGTACTTCTCCCGCGTAATGCGCTGCTTCTCATACGTGACCTTGCCGCCGCCACGGCCATACTCGGCATTGACATCATCAATGCCAATAGTAAAGCCGCGATTCATGAGCCAACGACTTGTGAGTTTCGCAATCCGGCTCATGCAGTCCATGGCAGCACGCGCCCCGCAGTCTCGGATGAGGCGGAAGAAGAGACCATTCTTAGCTCCCCCTAGGACTTTCTTGCCCAGATTGCCACTTAGAAGCTCTGAGTTTCTAAAGAGCACATAGCCATCGTTATGGCAAAGGGTCTGATCCTTCTTGGTGTAGTTCTTCTCTGGAACCTCGAGGTTCACGAAGACCTTGGACTTGTGATTGGGTCTTAACATCACGGAGATGGCCTGCTTTCCAGTCCAAAGCTCGCAGGGCTTTAGGATGGCCGGAGGAGGCAGGTCAATGACCTCCAAGCCATCAGACAAAAAACAGCAGAGCTGACAGAATTTGTCTCTTGACAGGAAGACGTCCTTCTGCGTGAGCAGGAAGGCTCCTGTAAGGAAGTCTTGGGTGGCGCAGATGGCAACCTCGCCACTTTTTGGCGTGACAAGCCCGTCGCGGACACCCATCAGCTGCATAGCCTCAGCCCGTGCCTCCTCTGTCTGAGGCAGGTGGATGTTCATCTCATCTCCATCAAAGTCAGCATTGTAAGGTGCGCAGACGCACTCGTTGAATCGAAAGGTGCGCCCGGGCATGACTTTGGCCCGATGCGCCATAATGGACAACCGGTGCAGAGACGGCTGGCGATTGAACAGGACGATGTCGCCATTCCGCATGTGGCGCTCGACTAGGTCGCCACACTTCAAGCTATCTGCAATCTGCTTGCGGAAGGGCTTCTTCAAAGCACCTTGCGGGACGCACTGTGATAATTCGCTACCCAGAATTAAGGCCATTCTGGGTCATCCCCGTTATAATCCCCTCCAAACCTCCCCCCCCCCCGCCCCCCCTAACATCAAATGCACCCACTGTGTTATAGTATACTGGGGGGGTTGTAGGGGTTTTAATATCAAAGCAGGGGATTGAGCCCTAAACCCTAAACCCTCCAAAGCACCTAAGAACTTTGTCCCAAAACCCTTGCAACACTATAGACCCTAAACCCTACATCCTAAACACTCCAAAACTTAACCCCTAAACCCTAAACCCTGAACCCCAAACCCTAACCCAGCACCTAAGAACTTTGTCCTGCCATCGGAGGTCTTGACAAAGCAGGCGCCGGGATGCTCCTCAGGCCCTCTCATGATGGCCATTCTGAGTCGGTTCATGCTTGCTTCACCTGGAAGGGGTTAAGGGTTAGGGTTAAAGGGTTTAGGGTTAAGGGTTTGGGGTTTGCGGTTTGGGGTTTAGGGTTTGGGGTTTAGGGTGAAAGGTTTAGGGTTTCGAGTTACTGCTTGGGAGCTTAAATCAGGTTTCCACCAAATGGACATGACATAGCAAATGAAATTGGAACTGGGTTATCATGAGCTTGGATAGGGATCTATGGGATGTGAATTGAGCTACCTAGGAACTTGAAGCAAGATGCCATAGGACATCTAGCTGATGGTTTGAGTTCCTATTCACCGCAAAGAGGAATTTGAATTAGGCTACAAGAATCACGAAACCACATTCTTGTAACTGAGCGTAGGTTGCTGAACTGCAAACCCAGTCACAAACCTTCTCAGGAAATGTCATACGCTTCGCCACCCATTCTGGTATAACCACCTGCTCCACACTGACCTTGGTCCCTCTTCAATCACCAATAAAACTTTAAACTTGAGCTCCCTTTATGTAGAAAGAAGCAATCCCAAGGTTATACCGTGATAAGGGTGTACCCGCAACCCTTTACGCTATACCCCAAACAGTAACCCCTATAACCTAGACCCTAAATCCCCAGACCCCGTGCCCTAAGCCCAAGTAGCGTTGGGATCTGGGGAGATCACCGTTCGCCCAGAGAAATCCACGCGTTTGCCGCTCAAGTTACCTCTGAAGCGTCCCTCCTTTTGCGTGGTTTTCGGGTTTAGGGGTTGAAGATTTAAGGTTTAGGAGTCTAGGGTTTAGGATGTGGGGGTTTCGGGCTTTAGGTTGAGTTCAGGTGGACAGAGTAGGGTAGTTTAGTCAGTATAGCCCCTAATTTTCTTCTCTATAGGAACCCACGTCCATTGATATTGGGAAATATTGGCTAAAGCTCATATTCCCCTTTTGTGTTGTTTTCAAAAAAATGGGGTTCGGAACTTGCACAAAGTGATGTCCATTGGGGTCATATATGCTGAGCTCTGAACCTCTAAACCCTGAACCCGTAAACCCCAATCCCTACACCCTAATCACTAAACCCTCAATGGTCCCCCAATAAGCCTGACGTTGACTTTAGCTCATATACTCCCCATAGTAAACGACTACAAGATCCCACTTTCTATTTCATATTTTCCTGTTGATTCTCCGTCATGTGGTAGTTAGCAGTTTCTTTGCCATTGCTGTGCCCCCCCCCAAAAAACTAAACCCTAAAACTTAAACATCCCCTGGTACATAGGGAACCCTGTCCTTGCCCTTGAGCCGGGTGCAGATTGAACGGACAGACTTCGGTTTAACCTGAAGCCCTGATATCTCAGAGTTGACGTATCTGGCACAAGCCTCTTGGAGGAACTCCCATGCCTCAGCTGTAGTCTATGCCTTCGCGGCCATCAGACTGCAAAATTCCAATCTCTTCAAAAGATATACTAACAGCTCACATAGAGAGATTCCAAAAATCAAGGGATCCATCTTGGGTGGTCTCCCCTATAGAGTTATAATACTTTCGAAATCAATATTATAAGGGGACCCCTCGCTTTTGGTCCCAACCCTACACCCTAAAACCCAAACCCTTCTGCAAACGCTGACCTGGGCCTGGATACCTCGAGCACTTGCCTGGGCAAGCCTCGCTGAAGCTGTGTCTGCAGCGCAGAGTTCGCCTCAACGATTTCCTGGGTTGCTGTTAAAGGATTTAAACTAAGGTACCACTAAATGGGCAGATCCGGTTCAGGGTTTAAGGTTTAAGTTGCCATAATGATATGGGTTTATAGTCAATAGGTAGGAGGGTTACCTTTTTATTCCTCGAAGGCAACCAAGTCTCTCCGATAACCATCGTCAGGTCATCTTCTCTGGTGCCCTTGTCGCCCATGCTGACCTGAAAATAACCCTAAACCCTAAACCCTGAACCCTAAATCCCTGAACCCTAAATCCCTGAACCCTAAATCTCTGATCCCTAAACCCTAAACACCCTAAACAGACGGACAGAGAGCCCGCAACCTTCCCATTTCATAGCAAAGATGGACCTAAGCAGCTGTACTTTATGAAGTTTGTGGGTAACAAGGCAGGGTTTAGGGTTTAGGGTTTAGGGGAGAGTGCTGCAAGTCGAGGGGCCGTGGGTCGGATACAAACAGGTGGAACTGGCAGCGATGTCAGTAAAAGCTGTTCTGGGCGCTGGAACCCAAGAATCTCCCTGTCGTTGGGGGGGATGCGCTTCATGAGCTCATACCTGCAGCCATGGGTCTGGCTTAAGGCCACATTTCAAACAGTTCGGGCCCCGAAGGAGCCATATATAAGGGGTTTTCAGGGGTAAATTGGGACGGACCCAGCATGGACTTTCCGTTTTTGGGGAGACGCATTGTGGGGAGACGTTTTCCTTTGGAAATGGCCAGGAACAACCATCAGGTCCACTGTAAACATAGGAACATGACGAAGCCAAGACTTTAGGCAAGTCACGCCACCAGGGGGTTGAAGTCTTCTGATGCCTTATCTGCATAAGACTCCAGGTCTTTGTTGAAGGCTTTTGCCTCTGTGAACGAATCGATGAAAGGCAAGGACACCTCTTCTGGAGCTTGCTTGTTTGTCGGGCCAACGGCGTGCCTCAATATCAGTGGTACACCAGGTCCCTTCCGAAAGGAAGTGTTGTGGTAACTACAATGCGGACAAAGTCGGGTCGTCTTGCAAGTGTGCAGGATACGCTTCTGGAGCATCTGACGCGTCAAGTCATCAGTCTGCGGCTTTCTCAGCCGCCTCTTGTACTTGTCTAGAGTATCAGTGGGCAGCAGCAGCCTGGCACAAGACTTACAAACGGAAGCCAGCACCTGATGTGTATGCCGCAGGTAGCCCGCGTGAAACACCTGGGTTGCTGTTACAGAACTCAAACTGAAGTACTGTAATAAGGAAACCCCTTTTTTTCAACATATAGTCCCCCTTAAGTAGATAGTATATGGCTTTGGGTATATATTATAATAAGAT